CTACAAAAATTGCCGAGTAACGTAAAATGTCTGTGAACTTTTATAAAAAAAAAATTATTAGAATACTTATTTAAAAAAGCCTTTGTCAGATAAGTTTTAAAACACCCTGTGTTATGCTGCCACTTTGTTGTATAAACCTGATTAGTTAATTAAAATAAATATCTACCTATAAGGTTTTGGTTTAAATAATTTTATACAGCTTGGTATTGAAAATGATTTTTAAATATCATATCATATATCCGAGTGCCACTTGATTAATTACAATTGAAGCCAAAGGATACAAGTGATTAAAAAAAATGGAGTTAAGTACTGGAATATATAGTAAAAGGTAAATTTTACTTGGTAGCCAAGGCATATATATATATATATATATATATATATATATATATATATATATATATATATATATATATAAATATATTTAAATTAAAATATTTATTTACACACAAAATGTACATACATAATGTAGTTTAAAATAATGTAACAATTGTTGTAACTTAAGTTAAGTTAAGGTACATTCTTACTTAAATTAACTTGTTACATTATTTTAAACTACATTATGTATGTACATTTTGTGTGTAAATAAATATTTTAATTTAAATATATATATATATATATATATATATATAACTGCAATCTAAGCTTGTACTCTTGAAAAACAAAGTCATAAAACGACAAACCATTTTGTCTATATATAACTTTTTCATGATAAACGTCTAATTTTAAACTAATTAGATGGAATCACGCAAGAACGTCGAAAAACTAGGTATCATTTATATGTCACAAACATTTTAACCCACCCTCGTAGTAGTGTCATCCATGTCAAGTAAGCCAGTTTGAGAAAATTTAATTATTAGATAAACGTGATAAATAATAATAATAAAATCATTTAAAAAATTACAATATTAGTTTAAAACATTTATTTGTATGATTTCTTTGTAAAGGTATTTATTTACACCTTATTCTGAGACATATTCATAAAAAGTCAGACCCTACAAAAGCCCTGTTGGATCAACAAACTATTTTTCTTTATATTGGCAAAAGAGATTTAACATGTTAATACATGAAGAAAAAGGTTTAGTAAACTTTTAAATGGTTTCAGAAAAATAAAATTGAAATAAAAACACCACAAAAATTATTAAATATGTGGTCAGCAACAAACTGTCTGATTTGACATGGTTTGACCAAATAATAGTAACTGTTCATACTTAAAGTTTTACTGGTATTTGTGACAGAATTTTGTAAAGATGAACCAGGCATTGCAGAAACATCAGATTCTTCTGTGGGAGAGCACTCCATCGGGGTTGGAATAATGGTGTCAAATTCTTGCTCTGGCTCATCCTTAGTATTTTGAAGTCCTAAACACAAAAATAGTATTAGATATTAGCTATTTTCGCGGAGCTAATCCCGAACTAATTCCGGACATCCTAGGCATGCGCTTTTTAAAATTTGGCTTTTAAATTGTAAAGTGCGCATGACAAATATATTAAAATGCGCATGCCTAGGATGTCGGAACTAGTTCGGGATCAGCACCGCGAAAACACCTATTACTTATTAATAAGTTAATTTATTTTTTATTTTTTAGTTCTATAAACTAAGTACTCTGTATTCTGGTAAACTTTTTAACTAATCAGTAACTTTATCAGGGTTCGCAGCGAATGAAGCAAAAAATTTAGGGCACTTTAGGGCACTTTTATTTTTAACATAGGGCACTAAATTAGTGCCGATTTAAGGAAATTGTTGGAATAATTTACCTTATACATAAACAAATTATACCGTTGTTTTGTACATACCTAATTACTAGGGCATACAATCCCGGACAAAATTAGGATTTCTTAAATCCTGGGATTTTCGGGATTTTTTTTAAATTACAAAAAACATTTTTTTTAAATAATTTATTATTACTAAATACTTGAAACCCTTTTTTATATAAACAATTTGGAAAATAAAGGAAAAATATAAACAACAACAGTTAAGTAATATTAATCACTTATTTAATTACATAGAACTTACAGTACTGTTAGATGTATGTAATTAAATAGTGATAAATTTTACTTTCCGATTTTTTTGAAATATCCCACCTTTTGTCCGAAAGTCCCAGGATATCATCAAAAAAATCCCGTGGATTGTATGCCCTATTAATTACACAGTAATTATTATTTTGGCACTATAGATGGTGTTCAATATTGATAAAATATTATTTATTGTTTGTTCATTTTGTCACAATTAATAAAACAACTTTGTACACTAACAAAAATGTTGGGGGCGTGGTGCTTGTACCGCCAGATTCAAAATGTGAATTGACCGTTTTATTATATTATGTATGCCGCATTTGGACTCTTCACTTTCTTAAAACCCTTGTACGCCTTCGCACCTAATTAACATTTAGTGTAAATTTTATTTACAAGCATTTAAATTTTTATATATCACAATTTAAAAAATAAACGAAAAATTGATAAAAAAATAGGGCACTTTATTTTAAAATAGGGCACTTTTGGGGCACCGTGAAAAAAATAGGGCACATTAGGGTACTTTAGGGCACTCGCTGTGAACCCTGCTTTATACAACATTTTTAACTTAAATTTATAATTATAATATATGAATTTAAGGGTTAATCAATTTTTACATACCTTTTACGAGTAAATCTGGCACTGATCTATACTTTAAATTGGTTCTGTTTTTATAAGCTGGAAACTTGCTTTTTTCTGAAAAATGTTTATCACATACTCTATAGTTTTTCCTGATGATTTCTTTCCCTCTTGGCAACAGGTCCGGTCTACCAATGGCAATAATCCATTTGTGGAGCAGCTAAAATGTTAAATCCCAGCCTTTATATTGATATTTGTATATTGTTGGTTGACACGCAAACGACCAAAGTTTATTAACAATAATTATTCATAATAAACTACATGGTACTACTTACCATATTTGTGTAAGTAAGTAATTTATTGTTTTAATAACATAGATATAATTGAATAATACAATACAAACCTCGTCATCATTGGGAAAAGTATGCATCATAACTTGACTGTTGACTGTAGAGCAGCCCACAGCACAGCAATAGAACACCATGTTTAATGTTTAAGAGTACACAAATAACGATAAATCACAGTTTTTAAAGTTTTTAAACGTAGAGAACAACAAATAAACACAATATAAATTTAGCAAACACTCAGGTTAGGTTCATAAACCAAACTGAAGTTTGTTGATTTCGTTACCAAGCAACCGTCAAGATTAACCGCCGCTGCTGCCACATGCAACTCGAGTGTAAACTAAAACCAAAGTCGACTAGACAAAAATGTGGATTTTGTTTGTTTAAGGCGAGTGCACAGGGCATGATTCAAACATCAAATAAATTTTTAATAGATCTAAGTTTCATGGCAACCTTTAAGGATATATTAATTAAGGGAACATAAATGTATACGTCAAAGGTTAGATTAAAAGTTTGAACGTTTATTGCAACAAAACAGTAAAATATATAAAAAAAATTGTAAAAACCTTTTTTTAGTTATGCAAATATTAAATATTTAAATTAAATCGCTAGTTTTAATTGGATAATTGAAAGAGTGCATAATATTTTTAATAAACAGCCAATTAAAACAATTCAAACCGTCAAATTTTTTTAATTTTGCTCTTAAAATTTTAGTTATGACCTAATTAACAAGAATATTAAAAAAAATTAGGTTTCACAGAAAGTCCAAAAATCACCTCTCAGAACAGCACCGTGAATATTTTTGGTTTTCTGCGCCAGTACAAGTTCTGATGTAAGCGCCACATGAATGGCAGTGTACTGAACCACGCCAGTATGGTTCAGTACACTGCCATTCATGTGGCGCTTACATCAGAACTTGTAATGAACTTTTCAAAAAGTTTATAAATATTGTCAAATAACCTTACAATATTAAGGAAATAATATTTACATAAAATTGCGAAATAAATGTTGAAAAATATTTACGATATTTTTATTAATGTTTTAGAAATACACTATCCGTCAAAATTAACGCATAATAAGTAAAAAAATTTTAACTCGAAAACCAATCTTTATGAAATTTTGTATAAAAATACTTCAACTTATATCTCAGTTTACGTATGAGGGTTTTTCAAAAAAATATTTTTAAAACCCTTTATTAAATAATAAAAAAAAAAGTTCTAAAAATAACTTTTAGAGATTTTTTTTTTAAGTAAATTAAAAATATGGTATTTTTGTTAGTATACCCTAAAAAATTTTTACAAATCAAACGAACAGTAACAAAGATACAGCGCTTTAATTTAAATTAAATTAAAGTCGGTAAAAATTAGCCCTTTTTGATTATTTTGCTGAAAAATTGTCATTTTTGACGACTTTGAAGCGCTGTATTTTCGTTACTGTTCATTTGATTTGTACAACATTTTCAGGGTTTACTAACAAAAATACGATCTTTCACAGGATATTTTTTATTTACTTAAAAAAAATTTCCCTATAAAAGTTTTTTTATTATTAAATAAAAGGGCTTTAGGATATTTTCTCGAAAAACCCTTGAACACGTAAACTGAGATATTAGTTAAAGTATTTTTATACAAAATTTTATAAAGATTGGTAAAGGCGTTTTGGAGTTGGATTTTTTTTACTTGATATGCGTTAATTTTGACGCGCAGTGTATTTACGCGTAACAGTTATAAAAATATTATTCCCTGAATGTTCGTACAACATTTCATCAACCTTTAATTTATAAATATTGTTCTCCAAATGGCCTGACAACATTTTTAAAACATTGTGTTAATTGGGAACAGATCACATTTTTTTGCTATATTTTTTACAACTTTTTAATAATCTCCGTAAAAATTTTATTATTTAAAATTGTTCTTATTGGTCTTATACCTGTCTAGACAGTCAAAATCAAACAATTTGTTTTAAAAACTTAAATGTTTACAAATATTAAAATCTTATAGCAGTTCAGAACAATCATTAACAAAATTTATCCAAAACCTTATTTATAAATTAGTGTTTTTATTTTTTTCAGCTCAAGGTGGTGCTCTTATTGGTCAAAGACCTGGTATTATAGATACAAGTCTTCATTTATTATTACAAGTTCCACATTATATACCTGAACAAAAGAAATTTGAGTTAGGAGTATTGGTAGGTTTTTTTACTTCATTTACTAATGTCAATATTTATGTGTATCTAATTATTTTATAGGTGCTTATGCTGCTGATAAACCTAGTTCAAGACCAAGACAACAATAAAAAACTGCTTATTGAAGCAAAAGCTCCCTCCAAGTCTGAAAGTATTTATTCGCGTAAGTTTTCAACCTATTCCTCATGTTTTGATTTATATTTGAATTGTTTGCAGGCAAAGAAAGTGCAGTCGAAGGCTTGATAACTCAGTTTTATCATTGGGAGGGTTGCGCAAAAATTGCAGAGAAAAAAACGAACGCCATTTTGGACGGAGAAAAAGATGGCGACGCTCCAACGCCGAAGTCGAACGAAGAGTTCATCGAGGAAACTGTGGCAAAATGTAAGTAAAATCCTATAAAAATAATTAAATTTTCTAAAGTAGTAGATCTTCTTTCAAAAATGCATGTTTTAACTATAAAAGTAATCTCATAGATAGAATTAGGTTAAAATTGCTTTTCAGGATGAGAAAACCACTGTATTAAAATAAAATAATAAGCTTATTATATTTTCCACAAAAAAAATTTGAAATAAAACTTTTTCAAAAAATAATTCAATTTTGTAAAATAGATATCTTTTCACAAAAATGCATTTTTAAACCACATAATTGATTCTATGAATCGGGTTAAAATGCTTTTCAGGGCAAGAAAAAAACCTTTTTACAATAAAAAAGTATTACAAAATTCTTATTTGATGTTATAAAATTATTAATTTTCAAATAAATAAAAGCGACTTTTGGTCTTTAAAATACATTTTTGCAATAAAATTTAAATTTGTTTAAAAATATTTAAATTTTGTAAAATAGTAGATATGTTCCCACAAAAATGTATTTTTAAACTATAAAACTGATTTTATATATAGATTGGGTTAAAATTGCTTTTCAGGAAAATTTAAATAAAGAAGTTTTTTAAACAATTCTTATTTTATGATATAAACAACGACTTAAGACTTTAAAACACATTTTACAATAAAACTTAAATTTGTATAAAATGTAACACTGTGTGCTTAGCACTGATTCAACCCATGAACTTCTGCACATCTGAGATTTCTTCAAATTCTGTATCTGCATGACCTATAATTATTTAAACAAAAAAAATTAAAATCTTCGGCGGAGCCGTTTTTGAGAAATTTACTTTTGATTTTTTTTCTGCAAAATGTAGAAAAATAAATACAAATATTTTAATAAACGCTTCAAAAAATTAATTTGAGGTGATCTTACATATTTATCAATTAAAAGTCTTCATAATATGTAACAACTTGTAGTCACTAACTATGATAAACTTTTACCGCAAAAATGTCTAAAGATAATGCGTTAACGCATAGTGTAAATAGATTTAAAGTGGGTTTGTTTTGTTTTAAAAAGAAAAAGCTGTTTCCAATTAAAGACAAATTAAAACTTGTTGTTTTAAGCCTATTTGCGGATTATGAAGTTGAGGAAAAAAGTTTGCCTGCAGCCTTATGTAGTTCCTGCAAGATTAAAATATAATATAAGCCAAACCGTCGTATGTACAATATTGAGTTATAAGGGACAAAAGTTTATTTTCATTGTTAAAAACAATAAAAATTATTTGTTGTCCTTTATTACTGAATATTGCGAATACGGGTGTTTGGCTTAGCACGGCAGTATTCTAGCAAGAGGAAAACAACATGTTTGCAACAAAGTTTCTCGAGTGCAGAAGATGTCTGGATACTTGTCAACCCTGGATGAAAAATCTCAAAGCCAGGTAATTTAAAGTGCCCTTAAACGTAAAGTAAGCGACGTCGCTTACCTGGTTTGAGATTTTTCATCCAGGGTTGACAAGTATCGAGAAATATTCTTCACTCAAGAAACCTTTTGCAAACATGTTGTTTTCCTCTTGCTAGAATAGTACAACAGACACTACACCGTTTTTCTACCGACGAAGAAACAACCATTTCTTTTTTGTGTTCTGGTATAAAATCATGTGTTGCTTGAGCAATATTTGCCGGTACGGCTCGAGCGATTTGACACAGTTTACAACTACATTTTGTAACATCTTGGGATCGTGTTGCTCTCTTTTGTTTCTCATCTTTAGACAAAATGGGTAGCTTCAGTTCCATTCTCCCAGAACCATGTTATGCTTTATATATTTTAATCTTGCAGGAACTACATAAGGCTGCAGGCAAACTTTTTTCCTCAACATCATAATCCGCAATTAGGCTTAAAACAACAAGTTTTAATTTGTCTTTAATTGGAAACATAGCTTTTTCTTTTTAAAACAAAACAAACCCACTTTAAATCTATTTACACTATGCGTTAACGCATGATCTTTATACATTTTTGCGGTAAAAGTTTATCGTAGTTAGTGACTAAACGTTTTTACATATTATGAAGACTTTTAGTTGATAAATATGTAAGATCACCTCAAATTAATTTTTTGAAACGTTTATTAAAATATTTGTATTTATTTTTCTATATTTTGCAGAAAAAAAATCAAAAGTAAATTTCTCAAAAACGGCTCCACCGAAGATTTTAATTTTTTTTGTTAAAATAAGCAGATACAGAATTTGAAAAAAATCTCAGATGTGCAAAGGTTCATGGGTTGAATCAGTGCTAAGCACACCGTGGTAAATAAAATTAAAACAACTTATTTGAACTTTTTCTTTGGAAAACATCGCCGTTACATTGACAGTTTCATCACGAATTTCTACCGCACCTTTTAGTTAAGCTCATGCTCAATTCGAGTTAAAGCCACAGTTTTCAAGCTTTCAAACAATACATATAATATTTAGATTCATCAACTCAGGATGTTTATGTGAAGCAATAATAAGCAGTAATAATAATATTACACTGGAAATAATGCGCATTATACCTCATCCTCATCTTGTATAATAATATACTATTTTTCTTAATATTTTGTGTCATTGGGTCAAAATTTATTTACAGGCCAATTTCAGTCCCTGGTAAAAAAAATTTTTTCAAACATTACCTGGTTACACATACCATTCCTGTGTAAAGGCACATATTTTTCAGTAAAAAACAATGTATGGTAGCTTTTGTATAAAAAAAATAAAAAGTAACGAAGTTTAAAATGACAAAATGTAACGCCGGTCACATGTCCCTGTCGTCTGTTTATTATGTTAAATCTGTTGCATTTTACTGTCAAAAGTTGAAAATAAATATTTAAATAATTTACGATATAGAAACAGTTACGTAATTTTTTAATCAATTTTTCTTATACTCGTCTTTACAATATCAAAGTTTCGGTAGTGCCTTAAAGCTGTGTCCCCCAGATTGTGCGTAACGCCGGTAGCACTCCATATACGCTCACATTTTTGTTGCCAGAGGCGCTAATATCAGTCTTCGTTAAATTTTGTGTTACGAAAACTTTGCTGCTAGTGATTTTGCATTAAATAGATAAGTTTTCATTATATTTACTTAATTTTTCCTCAAATTATGAAAAAATTAGTTCATGCGTATGTTTTTGTGTCGTAACAACGGTCACATGGCCTATTTTTAATATTCTTCAAATTTCTTATTAATTGCTAAATATAAAAGTATTTTATTTATTTATTTAATTACATCAATATATGCGTTCATAATAAATATAAATATTTTTTTATTTCGTTATTACGTTTTACAAATAATCTATGATTTGAACGTATGACCGGCGTTAAAAAAGGCGGTTATGTTGCTTAAAAAAGATGCCGGAAATTCAGAAACCTACATATCCAGTGCGGACACATACAAAATTTGGTAGAAGAAACCTGTACCAACTAAAAAAATTGAGGTTTTTTAACTTTTATTTTTTGGAATTGGCCCGTAAATAAATTTTGACCCCATTAATGTTTTATTGCAGTATTACAAAAGGCTGGTACCCATATGGAATACACTTTCTTGGCATCCTACATTGTCATGCTCATGGGCTTCCTCATTATGGACAATCCTGAGTACCAAACAAACGTCAGGCAGTTCCTGAAAGGAAACAATTTCGCCGACATGGTAGAACTTCTTAAGAAGTTCTACAACTTCATGAACCTAACTGCGTCGGTAAGTAATTTGACTAAATCCCAATCCTGTAGCAGGTTACGATAACCGCCCGACTTTTGTCCTATTTTCCAGACTGAGGCGTCCAGCGTGTGCGCGATCAAGGCCACGCAGAAGGTGATCAAGTACCTGGAGGGTTGCGACAGCTCGGACGCTGCGCAAGCGCAAGAAACGCAGTCCGAGGGTTTCCCGTCCGCAGGTGGCGCTGTCGGCGCGGGCGCAGATTGCGTGGATCTCAGCTATCGGATGGCGCAGTCGCAGTAGCACAGGCCGTGGATCAATAGGTAAAAAAGCGTTTTTTTAGGTTTTATTTTTTTAGTACTTATTACTACGATCAATCAGGGGATATTGTATTTTATTGCCGATAATTGACATTGTCTTGAGTTTGAGGTTTTTATAAAGTTTACAGCGGCTTTTTACGATTTATTTTGTCATTTTCATTTTCAACTCAACCATATTTCTACTAACCAAAATCTCTGACCTAAAAGACTGTAATTTTAAATTAAACGTATCAGGTTTAAAAAAGTATTTTTTCCATATTGTTCAGAAATTAAAAATTACCATCCTAGCACAACATTCAGTAAAAATTCTCACAAATTATACTTACAAGAGTGTAAATTAAGTTGGTATTAATTTTTACACTGGATATGTGTTGATTTTAAAATAGTTTAATGTTTACTGAGCAAACAAAAAACAAATCCCAATATTTTAAGTTATTTTAAGTAGAAATACAAGTTTAAAATCATAGTTTTATAAATAGTGAATATTGTTCAGAGTTGTTTATGTACATAAATGTAATTTAAGATGATGATAATAGGATTTCAGACAGTTATTTGTACATTTTATGCTTTATTTATTTTGTTTTTTTTATCATAATAATATCCATTATATTTTTTTTGGATTGTTTAAATAATGTAAATATAATAATTACCATTTTTATTAGCATTTTATTAACCCTTTTCTTTATTCCAGGAAATTATTCATTCCATAATTTAAAGACAAAATATGTCTAAATTACCAAACGCTTTGCTTAGGGAGACTGAGCTCTCATGAAATATAACTTATATCTAGAGATGGGATTTTAGTGTTTATTACCTATTTGTCTATGCTAATCATAGCTTTAGGTGCAATGGAATAAAATTCGTTTTGAACAAAATGATTTCATTTGAGACTGAATTTATTTTACCTAATTTTTACATTTTACTACCTAAACCAGTGTAATTTTACGTATTTTACCTAAATTCTTATAACCGAAATTTTTAAATTTTACCATCAAAACCATGATTTTTGTAATATTGGGGTTGTCGTATTTGGATGACATAATTCTTATGCACCATGTAGATATTTTTGTTGTACTGGATTGGTAACCAACCACTTCCAACCTATGTAGGGTACCCTTGGTTGGGAGAGCTTGGTACTGGAAATCGCGACGCGAATATGACATTCCTGCGCAATGTTGCCATGCTTTTGCATGAGATCTTAAGTTTTTCAAATCAATCTCATTTTATCATGTTTTATTTAAAAATCTCATGTATTTTCACAAATTCTTTTTTATGAGAAATTATTTTTTAAAACATTCTATCATAATGAATTTGAATTTGTTATTTCCGTATCTTGTACCAGAATTTGATGTCAGATTATGAAATTGGAGTTTTGCACATAAAAAAGGTCATCTTGTTGTATTTTACATGGCATACAAATTCACAATTAAATCACAACCTTAGAAATGGCCCGGACAACATTCGTGATATTCATACGAACATCATGTCGTGATTTTCACAAATTTTATTCATATTTATATCATACGGAAGTCACCGCGTGATAAATGAAAATCATACGAACGTCACGTCGTGATTTTCACAAATTTTATTCATATGGACATCATCCGGATGTCACTGCGTGAGAAATGAAAATCATGTCGTGATTTTTTATGCCATCGCTGTTTGCGATTGACCGATGGCACAAAAAATCATGTCGTGATTTTTTATGCCAACGCTGTTTGGATAATCATTTTTGCGCTACGTTCGTACACTCAGAGAAAAATTATGTTGAATTAACAGTTTTTGCGGTTAAATACATTTAATATTTTCTTGGATTTAAATTAACTATATATAGTTAATTTAAATCCAAAAAAATATTGAATGTTAAACTGTTGATTCAATTGTTAACATACTTTTTCTTTCAATGCACGAATGTATCGCAAAAATGTCGTGATTTTTTATGCCATCGGTGTTTGGATATTTATTTTTGCGCCACATTTAAAATTAAGATTAAAATTATTAGTTAATTTACATCCAAGAAAATATTAAATGTATTTGACCGCAAAAACTGGTAATTGTTAACATACTTTTTCTTTCAATGTACGAATGTGGCGCAAAAATAAATATCCAAACATGTCGGTGCACCGATGGCATAAACAATCATGTCGTGATTTTTTATGCCCAAACACCAATCACGACATGATGTTCATATGAATATCAAGAATGTTGTCCGGGTTCAATTAAAAAATATATTCCAATGTTTAACAAAACGTTCACGTTTTTTTAAACATTGGAATATTTTTTTAATTGAACCCGGCAACATTCTTTATATTCAAACAACGTTTTATAAATTTTAACGGTGTAATGTGAATAACAAACTATAGTTTTTAAATTCGCAGTTCGCAGGGCTCATACGCATGCGCAAATTTTGCAAATATCACACCGTGAGTTCTACATGATATCACTGTGATGAAGCATGTGTATGCACAGCGTGATAAAAAAATCACGTTGTGATATCATCATGACTTCACCAGGAAATCCCGATTGTTGTCCGGATGGACTCGCGTGGTCCTTGGAATACGGCTGCCATGTTAAGGAAAAAATAGAATAATTTAAGACAGGTGACAGTTTCGTGTAGTAATTACTTAATCACTTAAGTGACAGGGTGTTTCTACTTTTTTATAAATATTAGATAAAAACCATCTTCAGGGGCTCCCTTTTCGGGGGCTGTAGCTCCCTTAGGAGGCATTTCTCGATCTATATTTATAGGGACTTTTTTCTTATTTTTGCATGTAGAATCTGCTGTTAAAGTATGGTGCACTAATTTCGGAACACCCTGTATAGGCAAGTTCGACTTAAAAACTAAAAAAACAAGCTTACCCGACCAAGGGACTTGACTCGAAAGTCAATAAACCCATAAATCTTAAGTAGGTAAAACACGAAACCAATTAATGATCATCTAACATAAACAATAAACCTTAATTAAGGTAATAGACTATTTACTAATAGTCTTCTGCGAGCCTAAAATAGTATAACAGAATAATTGCGCTTACCATTTGTTTAACTAATAAATAAATGCAATACTTATTGTTGGAAATGAAGAAAAAAGACAAAATACAATTCTATCACAAAAGGTGCTTGGGCAACACAATAACTAAAAATTGTTACAAATTTCGCACTACTGCGGTAATAAACAATTAAAAAACACAACAAAAGCTATCGATAACTATCGGTAGTTACATGGCCGACTACTGAACTATCTATCGATAGTTTTCGACCTCAAGACTGAAGAATTGAGCATTTCGCTCTCGAGCCCTAAATAGGGGACAGTATGGGTCGCAATCGCATCCAGCAAACACGGGTGAAGCCGTTCCGTTGCTGGTGGCGAAAGGAAATCGGCGCAAGGAAACAGAGGCCTATGCGGGGCCAAGCAATCTTAAAAATATATTTAAATACATTTATTTTAAGTGACAAAACCTAATAATAGGTAGTTTGTCATTCTAAACTTATAATAGAAAGGGTTTATTCTATAAAATTCGTGTCAGAATTTTTTTTTAATCTATATGTTTTTTTATAATATTAAAATTGTTATTTTATTATCCTGTAAGTTTTACAAAAAATTTAATTTGACCACCATAAAGAAAACAAAATGTGAGTAAAACATGTTTAATTGGAAGAATTTGGAAATATTCAACAATAAAATTATCACAGTATATACATATATATAAAATCTTAAACAACCTTATCATTAAATTTAAAACAATTAGGCAGTTCTTGTATAATTTGGTAAGTCCCCTCCTTAATTCCTTTAGCAACAGTTGATACAATTTGATCACTTGAATATTGCTCATTCTCATTGAAATGTTCTGCAATACTTTCATATGTATGATTCATGCATTGCTTTATAAGATTCTTTATTGCATTTAATTGTTGATCATTAATATTGGAATTGTTCAAGTTTTGTTGGGGTTCCTCTAAAACCCCTAATTTTTCTTTCAAATCATTTATTTGTTTATTTAGTTCTTGTAGAGTAATTTTATGTTTTGCTTTTTCACTTTCATTTTTGTGGTAATAGTCTTCAAAATCTTTCAATTTTAACTGAAGGTTTTCAATTTTTTTAGCCTGTTCTTCGTTTTGGTTCTTAACTGTTTTATTATCTTTGTTTTCTTTATAAAAGTCTTCAAAATCCTTTAATTTTAAATTTTGGGTATTGACTTGAGTCTTAAAATCATCCAGTTCGTTTTTTAATTGCCTCATTGCATTATTATCTGCTTCATTACGAAGTTCTTCCATTAAAATATTTTGTCTTTCTATGGCTTCCTCGCTTATTTTACTTTCTTTCAAATTATTATTTTCCAACTGTATTTTTTTATATTTTAACTTATAATCCTCCAATTCTGAAGAAACATTTTCAAGTTTTAACAGCAATACTTTTACTTTTGACTGGGAATCATTTTGTGTATTATTGGTAATACCATCTAATTTCATATTTAACTGTGTCAGGGCATATTTCATTTCCATATTTTGGTTAAGCAGTAGTGAAAAAGAATCATACTGTACAGGTTGTGGCTGATATTGAACTGGTTGAGAATAAATATCCTCTTTTTGGGAAATAACTAATTGATGTGAAGTATGGGGTTTTTCTTTCTTGATAAATTTTCTCGGATAAGTAACTTTCTCTGTTTTGGAATCTTCAAAATCAGAATCACTGATTTCAGTGCTGGTTTCTTGGTGTTTTTCCACTGGTAAAATTTGCTGACCCATTTTTGTAATTCTGGATAAAATGTTTGCTTTGTTTTGGTTTATATTACTGTTGGTTTCTGCGCTGCTTTGAGAACTTACAGATGGTGGTTTTATAACATCTGGGGGTTTAGTATTTTGGGGTTTAACTGGTTTGTAGTCTTCAATTGGTATTTTGTATTTACTGGCTTCCTTAAAAAATGATAGTTTGTCTTCTACATTGTCAAATTTTATCATCCAGTGTTTATGAGTGGTGTCATGGAAAGAAAAGAAGTTGTCTTCTTGTAAAATAAGCTTAAAATTGCTTGATAAGCCTATTCTAGTTAAAATATTGTTTTTTTCCTTATAAATTATCAACTCATACTTATTTTCTTCTTTATATTCAACTATTGCTAAACCATGTTTACCTAAATAGCTATAATTTTCATTCTCCCTGAAAAACAAAGATAATATTTACATGCAGTCAATTGTGCTAAAGTTTGAACGTACAACACCCACAACAATACAATTTTTGCATATAACACAGAACTTTGAGGGGATTTTTTTACTTCGCTTTTTTCTACAAATGTTTTTTTTGGGGCAGTGTAAGTTAAACTTTCATTTGCATCTTTGGGGGAAAGCATTGGAGAACCAAAAAGGGAGGATAATGTCGAACTAAAAAATAAGTGTTTAAAAATGCGTAAGTAAATATTTATTATATTTACTTTTGTGTTGGCGTGAAGTCATAATCATCCGAATTATCAAACATTTTTTTTTTACACTATTTTAATCATAGAAATAATCATAGAAATAATAGTATTATTTCTATGAACCCATATAACAAATATTTGACATAACCTTTTATTCTTCTTCTTCATATATCTCTGGGTGACAGTGTGGTCTGAATCATAGTCTATGATTCATAGACTGTGCTCAGAGGCTGATAGCCTTTAGCTTACTTAAAAGCATAGAAAAAGGATATTTATTAAAAGCTATTTATTTAGGCAGCTTACAATCCACATGGATTGTGTGCCAGCTCATTATTCTTAAATAATTAATAATTCAAGAATTCCTTAGAAGCATTGAGTAAGGAAGTAAGTAAGAGTAAGGAACTTCCTTACTCAATGTTAGAAGGTTGACCGTTATAGAGCAACTTTTCCCCAAATGTATATTTCCGGTAAACGGGCAAAATTGGACGAAAAACTAAAAAACACGAATTAAAGGTTGAAAGAATGCAGTTCAATGTACTAAAAGAAAATAAATATTGAATTAAAACAAAATAGCCGGTCAATTTTCCAATTCCAAATAGGTATTTATTTATTTTTATATTTGTTATCATGGGTTAGAATAACTATTTCTGATAACTAACAAATAGTCTGACTTAATGTCTTATTCGTTTTTAAGAGAAAGTAACTATTCTTACCTGTTAAAACTGTTTCTCAGTTTTTCAGAGAAAATTTTGACAAGGAAAATTTACAATATTAAATTAATTTAGAGTAGGATATTAATTTGAACAAAAATTTGGTATAAATTGATTTAAGGGAAGACAAAACATAAGGAGACAATAAACAATTACAAAAATTTTATTTAGGCATCAGCTATATTATTTAAAACAAATAGGTAGTTATTGTAGTTTTTTCCGTTCCTCTTCTAAATTTTTTCTGCTGTATCTTTTTATTTTAAAATTCTGTAAGAATCTTAATTCCCCATTCCACTCCTTTAGCATATTAAATTGTCGCGCATCTAATAAGTCGGGTATTTCTGAAAATAACATAAACATTAAAATAATTCCTTTATTATTATATGGTTGTATCTAAAATGTATTTCCTTTAATGCCCTAATTTAAAAGAAAACGACATTTGAAAATTTCTATTAAAAAATTCAAATTACTCAAAATTGTGAGTAATTTTTTTTAAGTCAAAATATTATTTTTCTGACATGTTCCAATTATAACTATTATATTATTATAACTATTTAAGAAATTAATGAAAATGTTAGGTAGGATGTCAAAGGATGGCAATAATCAATCATTATTACCGAAAACAGCGAAACAGTGTAAATAAACCAAATCAAGTAAGAACGTCACAAAATATAATATAAGCATAAACTTAGGCTGAGGCCAGACCCATAAATTTAAAGTGTTTAAAAGTTACCGAAACTAAAATAAACAACAATCTCTTAAAATAAATTAAAGGAGCACCTAAATAAGAAATAACCTTATCACATAAAAGTCAACTCAGACAAACAAAGGGCAACCAACGACAAATAAGTTTACGCACAGTGGGGTAATAATTCGTGTGAATGTGCAACTTTTTCAGTAGGTTAAATAAAGACGGGCTAAACAGCTGCACATTATAAAGTCGGTACTTGGCATGAATATCCACGAAGGCAGATGACACTTTTTACGGCGGGTCCCGGCCGGCAACACTTCGGTACCGAAGACAAGATTCAGTATCGCACAGGGGGGCACCAGGAACCGGAATTCGACTCGGACAGAGACACGGTCAGAGACGAACAGGAAGTACACCAACAAGGATAGGTTCTAGCAGCGTACTAACCACCTACCCCCATTCATGAATCTCAATTGAATGGGGTTATTAGTAACTGGTTGAGGAGGATTCCGGATTGTACCTAGTTTTGGGTCAGTTCAATGTCCTCCAAAAACTAACATGTTTTCCCTCCTTGTCCCGCACTCCACTAGCCTAAATTGGGCGTATGGCCCGACCCGGCGACAAAATTTGGATGTAGGATGTAGGATGTAGAAGAACGGAAAGGGGGTAAAATAACTCTGGAAGATTAGTGTAAGGTGATATCGATGGGGCCTGTCATACATCCCCATACTCATACTTTTACAAATAGCCATTTCAGATAAAATTATATTAATTTTTTTTTAAATCAAGATTATTAATATATAAAAATTGTATTAACATTTTATAATACCATTTTACATAAACATATAGTTTTTGAAATTTAATTTTTACATAACTAATAAGATTTTAATCATTTATACCTTTTTATTTTATACCGCCACAAAGCCAATTGAATTATAATTTGTACAGTAATTTGATCAAAATTAATACCACAAAAATATGGTTTTAAGCAGTGGCGTACCTAGTCTCGAGGGGGCCCAGAAAATTTCTGAGTGTGACAACCAAAGTCTATTTTGGACAAACAAAAAAAATTTTTAGGGTATAATTTTTTTGCATTTACCAATTTTTTATAATTTAATAAATAATATATGTATATAAAGCTTTTTATGTACAGACAAATTTTAAATTTTGCTCTGGCTTTAGACATTTACCGTTCTTCAACATCTTTTAAAAGGTTTATATTTTAAAATAAAGGAAAGTCATTTGAAATAATAATTATAACAATTATTGTAACGCTAATAATTATTTCTAATTTGCTATTAATTTAGCCTATGATAATAACACGCAAAGCAGACTCAGTATGCGGCGCAGAGCACAGAACAATATGCGCAGACTGCGCCGCAGACAACGCATAGCGGAAAGGTGCAGACAGAAACAATTCACAAGGAGGGTATTCAGGAAAATTTTAATTTAATAAATTGAAGTATAAACAATTAAATAATAATATTATTTATTAAATTTCATTCCTCAATTTTTTTAATATGTTTTTTGCTTACGCATGTCGAAGCCAATCGGGGGCCCCCCTAGCCGGGGGCCCCGTATCATTGATACGGCTGATACCGCGGTAGCTACGCCCCTGGTTTTAAGATTTCTTTATTAGTTTTTTTAAATAAAATTTGGCCACTATTTGCCATTCCAGTCTACCACAGTGCACCATGCTCCCAACTTGGGAGCATGGTGCACTGTGGTAGACTAGAAATGGGTTTTTTAAGCATTCAAACTAGAGATGTAAAAAACGGTTTTTTTTTTCAGATGTGAAAAAAAACTAGAAAAAAAACGGATATTTTTGTTTTTTTTTCAAAATTTTGAGTAAAATGTAGAATACCTATATTATATTTTTCATTATTGAAAATTTTTACCATGACTAAAAAAATCTGATTTCTTATTATTTGGTAGTTTCCACATTAAAAACCAATAGCAATGTAAAACTAACTAAAACACACTAATACAAAAAATTAAAGGATAAAAAATTGTTTTTGCGATTTTTCGGATAGCTGTATCTTTGTTAAAAATGGTCGTATTGGAGCCGTAAAAAAGCAATTTGAAGCTTAAAGTTTATAGTTTTGAGATTTTTAGATGATAAACGTGCAACGCTCAATTCTAACGAATACCGTAATAAAAAAAATCGATTTTTTTTGCTTTCTTTTTTGGTCCACGGAATGTTCTGACCACCAATGAATAAATGTTCTACAAGAATTTGCTATTGTTTTTTTGGAAAAAATTTGAAAAATCATGAAAAAAGTGCTTTTGGTAGCTTTTTGAAAAATCAAGCGCTGAATCAAACATATTATATGTATGTAGTTACTTTTTTTAGGACCAAATCAACGCGGCCCTTATTGGTCCATTCGGTGGTGGTGGCGCGTGCATAGCGCGAGACTGTACTTACATTTACTAATTGTGATTTAGTGGCTAATTTTAGTCCATGGAAACATAAAAAATAAGGCAAATGGGACAAATCTTGAAAAAAAAACTAGGGATGCACCGGAATTCCGGCGGTACCACTAAATCCGGCCGATCCGGCCAGTTGGCCGGAACTACCGTTCCGGCCGGATCGCTCCGGCCGGATCGCTTTCCGGCCGGAATTTTCGGAACTTTTTGGAAATGTATAAGTTTTAAATTTTTAATATAATTTAAATTCAAATATATGCAAAAATATAGAAAATTATTTTAAGGTTTTTTCGAGGGTTTTTTTTAATTGGTGCCAACTTATCTATTGTTAAGTAGTTAATTAATGACAAATAATTTTTTTTTGAACAAAATATATTTTCTTCCCAAAAATTACAAAACATAAATAATAAATGAAAATATTATTAACAGCCAAATTCTAACAGCAAAAATAACAGCCAAATTCCTGTCATGGATAAGCCTTATAAGATAAGAATACAGTTTACATGAAAAATTAGAGTAAGAAATTTAGTATCATGCCTGCAGCCCTGTGCCTTTGCTTATGATTAGCAGGCGTCTGGGATTTCCCGACTTTCGCCTCTGTGATTCCCCGACTTTCGCGTCTGGGATGCCCCGACTTTCGACCAGATATATTTTGTAATTGGTCAACAGTGAAGGTTTATTATTGGCAGGTGGCTGCTATTCTCCAATTGAATGAGTAGTATTGTTTTAATTTTGTGCAACGCTAATTAAAAATTAATATTTAAATAAACAGTAATTTCTCTCTAGGTAAAATTAATAGTAATAAACACTGCATACTGTAGCTAGTTTAAAAAAAAATAAAAATAAATCAGCCTCAATATTTTCAATGGTTTACGTATAAAAATAGGCATGCACATACATTTTAAATTTAGGTCCGATCCGGCCGGAATTCCGGCGATCCGTTCCGGCCAGCGGCCGAAATTCCGGTTCCGGCCGGATCGGCAAAATACCCGATCCGGTGCATCCCTAATTATGACTCATTGTATTTGTTTCAACATCCTCTGAAATTTTTATGAATTTTTTATAAATTGAATAACCTAATAAATTTACTAAACAAAATTTGTAATGTATCCTTGGTATTAATAAGTTGATTATTTTCCAATACTTTTTTTTAATTTTCCTTTTAATGTCAAAAATCATGGGCTGATTTTGGGAATTTCTACTTAATTATAATGTATTATACTCAATTATTTTAGTAAAAGTGATATCATTTAAGATATTTATCCAATTCTTAAATTAATATAATTACCTAATCCACAGCCTACAAATTGTTCATGTTCACCTTTAACTGTAAGTTTTATGATATCTTCTCTATTAGCGTGTTGGCGGTTTTTTCTATTTCCTATTGAGTGCTTAATTTTAATTTGTTCCAGTTCATCATCAAATCTACACAAATACTTTTCAATTAAAGTTGTTACATCTTCTGGCATACATACAACCCAATTTGGGTTCAAATGTTCTTTAAACCATAACATTTTTTCACCTAGTAGATTTAATTTTATATTTCCAGCTAGTTTGCTCTTATCCCTTGATTTTTGTCTAAAAAATAAATTAATTAAAGGTATTTATAAACATTTTTTTAATGTAAATAACACTTTTTTATTTGTTTTGCCAACGCTTTGGTTTTTCTGCTGTTAGGGTGCTTGCACTTCTCTATATCGCTTACTTTAGGCTAAAAAAGACGCAAAATTTAATATTATACATAATACTTAATAATCAGTTTATTTACCATTTTAAACAGGGACTGTGATTTTAAGATCATGGAAACATAACCTCACCAGTTAATAGATAGTTCTTCTTCTTCTTCTTCTAGACCACAATCCACCCAATGTGTGGATTGTGTTCTAGACCTCTAGACCAGTTCAGGGTGGAAGAAGGAGATGATACATCTCTATCCCGGAACGCAGCCAAATAACTCAGTATTTGTTAAAAATCTCAATAGATGGCGCATTGACTTTTCCCATTTTTAGTAAAATTATAGATTAACTTCAAAGAATAGACCACTAAGCTTAATTAAAATTCTAATAAAACCATTTCAACGTCACTTTTGTGCGTTTGTGGCGAACCAACTTTGGTTTTCTTTGCTAATGCACTTAATAATTTTTAATATTAATATTATATTAAAAAGGTTCTCAAATTCTCCTTGAATTATTTAAATTAATTTTTATCGATTTTTAATTCAACCATGTTACATTTTTTCTTTCAAATATAAATGATAAAAAATTAAAAACTTACCCAAATAAATATGTCTTTTTAAAAGGTTGTTAAATGAAAAAGTTAAGGCTTTTATAATAAAAAATACAGTTTGCAGAACAATGGTTTATAACAAAGGTAACAAAACAAAATTTATACAATAGGTATGTACCTACTTTATTAGAAAATAAAAATCTTAAACAAAATAATAAATTAATCTTCTATTGGTCTAGTTTCCAGGTACATGAGGGCTTCTTCATAGGTCATGTCATGAACATCCATGAAAATTTTGATGCAGAATTCTGGTAACAAAACTTTGAAAAAGTATGATGTTAACTTTTCTTCTCTATCAAAATTTTCTGTCAACAAATCTGTCAGAAGTTCAATTTGATCATAAGTGAACACAATCATACTTGTATTGTAATTTAAATCCATTGTAGTCAAATCATAAGTTGGGTTGTAGTTATAGAATCGTTCATGTCTTTCTGAGTATTGCTTTCCATTAAGTATATCCTGTAAGTAGGATTTATTTTCATAAAATAAATCTGTTAATTTGTCTGTAGTTAAAAGCTTACAGCTTAATGTCTCTATTTTATTTTCCTTACAAATGTCTTTTATTGAAAATGTAAGATCAAGAGACACATCTTCAATTTCTTTAAGCTCATTTACTTGCCTCTTTAACTTTTCAAGTTCTTTTTGGTCACTAAGAACATCTTTCATAGAAGGCATTAAAACACCATATTTCTCAAAAGAACCACTTGTATTTAAATTCATTTTATTTTTCTGTGTTTTGGGTTTAATATTAAATGACATCAAACTATCTGTGCTTGCAGTGCTATTTGATGATTCTGTTCTCACTAGTTTCTTGCTCTTTTTTGTTTTTTTTTCTGTGTTCGTTAATTTAGGATTCATTATCACAGTTTTATCGTAATTTAATGTATCTTTTTTGTTTTCATTTGTTTTCTTTAATGGTTTTTCTGATTTTATCACAGTTTTCTTGGTTTCTTTGGTTATTATTTTGTAGTTAACAGTTGTGTTTTTTTTAATCCTTTTATTTTTAATGACATGGTTTTCGTCTGTGTTGTTATGGTTTTCTTTACAATCACATCGAGCTTTGGGCGTTTTTCGTTTTCTTAACTTCATTGGCGATGTCATTACATCTGAAGGTTTTAGTTTGGGCATTTTGTAAACAAAGAAATTATCACTTTTACATAGGTAGGTAGGTACTGTAATCTTATCAATTTATCTCGAAAATATTTTCCAAACGGTTTGCCTCTTTAAAATGTCGGAACATGTGTCAAAAACCTGTTAGCTGCGTTCCGCAATTACAGTACAAGTCCAACTATTAATAATTATTTCCAAATAAATATTAATTTATTAATCAATGCAATACAAGCATGTTTGGGAAATCTCAAAATGTTTTTAATTTTAATTATAATTCTAACCCTATCGTGTGCCATTCCTACAGACTGTAGGCTACAGTAATTACTGTATTTATACGGTAATAATAATTAATAATAATTAATACCCAACCCCCCGCCCACCCAACCAATCCCTTGTCTATGTTAATAACGTTAGTACGGTAAATTAAGTTATATACTAATTAACATGTTTTTTCGTGAATTGTGATAAGCATTATTACACGCCTGTAAATAATGAACTCATAATAATTCTCGCTACCAAGTCCGATTTATAGATTGCCTTCCTTCCTTTCTCCCTTCCTCCCGTAAAAAATGAACAATACGAAAACCGTAGGGCCGTTTATTGATTTCCGTACGGGAATCTATAAATCTAGGAATCTATAAATCAGGCTTTAGGCGTCAGTGATTGGCCCATTTCTGTATTCACTTTAATTTGGACCGATCTGGTTTTACATTGATTGAAAGTTTTCTCATCGTATACTTTCATAAATTCGACGTCTGTCAGACGGTTTTAACCATGATCGAGCAATTTCTTCGAGAGAACCGTCTAAAATATGTCGAATGTTATGGTAGGAAACGAGGGGTGATTATAAAATTGAGAGAAAGTTAGGTTAGAACCGTCTGGCAGATGTAATAATAAATTTTGTTGTTTTAAAAAATTATTTAAGTAGAAAAAATATAGGGGTACTTTCAAAGTACTACTTTGCTTTTACATAAGCGTTTGACAGCTGATTATTAAAAGTTGTAGTTTTTTTACGATGATAACGGTCTAGTGGTGGCCTATATATAGGCTATAGCCTATAGGCTATAGGTAATAATGTACTGTTTTCACACAAACTCATTTTTTTTATGCTAATTTTTTTCCAAAGTTACACTATATTTTGCCTTAGGGATAAATAATAAATTTGCTTTATTTTTTAAAATTTTGTTTTATGGGTTTATTACGTGTTTATTTAAAACTTATTTTGTTTTTTAAATGTACGGTACTTAGTTTTTTCTTAAATACGGAAATTTTTAATGGGCAGATACAAAGATTTTCGCGGAGCTAATCCCGAACTAGGTAATTCCGGACATCCTAGGCATGAGCTTTTTAAAATTGGGGGTTAAAAATGTAAAGTGCGCATGACAAATATAAAAATGGGCATGTCCAGGATGTCCGAACTAGTTCGGGATTAGCACCGCGAAAATTATCTTTGGGCAGATACGCCAATTCTATTTCCACTGTGTGGCAACACTGCACGGAAGCATTTATTTGTTCTGTGCCACAGAATCTGTGGTGTATTGTCAGTTGCATACATGTACAGTTTACTCACTATAAACAAAATTTTAATATTTCTTTAAAATTTAAGTAAAAAGGCCTTTAAACAGATGATGGTTTCTACGAGAGGAGTAAAATTGAAATTTTACGAAGGAGAAAGAGTTTTGTGTTACGAACCCGATCCAACTAAGGCCAAAGTTTTGTACGATTCCAAGGTAAATATAACCTAAAAATTTCAATTCGATTGTTTGAATGTGTTTTTTAAGGTTTTGGACGTTATTATTAACAAGGATTTGAGGGGAAGGAGGTCCATAGAATATTTAATACATTTTCAGGTATTTTTAACCGTTTTTTGTTTAATATTTTCAGTGATAAGTAAATATTTAATTTTAGGGATGGAATTCTTCATGGGATCGGTGTGTTGGAGAAGAATACGTGTTAAAAGATACACCAGAGAACAGACAATTACAAAAAGACCTTGCTGAAAAGTCGCAATTACATTTGTAAGTAAAATAATAATTAAAATCAGTGGCGGTGGCTGGTGGATTTTGGGTATACCAATATCTCAATTATTAGATATGGGACCCACACCAAATTTATATGAGTTTATAATGACATTAAATTAACAAGTTTTGCGCAAGCAGAATTAAATTTGATGTTTAAAAAAAAAAGATAAATTTTTGCTCGGTTGTACTGGCCCCATGGCGCCCCCAATAAATATAATATATATTTAATTGGTGAAATTTATTATTTACCATAATTTATAAACAAATTTTAAATTTCATTTAAAAAATCCAAATTATACAGATTTTATACCATTTTAAATTTATAATATTTCTTTTCAACGAATGTATTGCTGATTTCATACCATTTAAAATTTTTAATATTTCTTTTCAACGAATGTATTGCTTAAAGTGATGTTGATCAAAATGGCAACCATCAAAATGACAGGTGCCATAATGACATCTATTAAAAACATCTATTAAAATGACAGATTCCAAAAATGGCTGTCAAAATGACAGCTGTCAAAATATCCTGTCAAAATAACATTTCCTAAATGGCAGGTGCCGAAATGACGACCATGGAGCCTACACAATAGAGATGGGACGGTATCTGCGGAACTGTTACTTTGTCGCGGTATTTTTTAATACCGTCGCGGTATTGCGTTCCACGCTAAAAGCACCGGTTACTTTGGAACTGCCAGAGGGTCTAGGAAGCAAGTCGCTGTTCCTTGCACACGGTTACTTTTCGTTCGCGTCGCCTTTTAAGTTTGTAGGAAAAAATAGCGCGATTTTAACCGTGAGGGGAGAGCGAATTAGTATTTGTCATGAGTTTGGTAAACTCTTTTTTGTGTTTTTTCAATACAGAACTACCTACTAAAACTTTGAACATCGTTTTTATTTATAGCAACAAAGAATACGAAGTACTTAAGGTGCCGGTAATAAAGCTTCAAGCGATAGGTGTAGGGTATTTTGTCGCGGTATTTTTTTGTCGCGGTCATTTGGAACGGTACCGTAGAGGAACTGTACTTCCCATATCTACTACACAAGGAACTTCATGTATACAAAAATCTACCTTAGATAAGAGGGCGCTGGTGTTCTGTTAATTGTTTAATTTGTACCGAAACGCTACATAAACAAATGTTTCAAAATGACAGGTAGCCAAATGACAGGAGTCAAAAAAACTGGTCGCTATCGCTATTGTTATTTTGCGAGTTACAAACAAGCAGCGTGTGTGTTTTTTTTAATGTAAATTAAACCAATTTCTTTCTTCTTATTTAATGTATTGTTTTATGTGCATTTATTGGGTCACTTGGAAAATAGATTTTTTTATTGTTAAAAATATCTCCTTCGTCACATGTCTCTTTTGTCACACTGCAACATTAAAACTAAATATAAGAGACTCTTTAAGCGAAACTTTACTGCTGAGAGTAACATTAGAATTACCTTTAGTTTGCCTAAATAATAGTCACAATGGATATGAAAATGTGAAATTTTTAGAGGTAGATGGGGCTAAAAAGTATAATGACCCATTTATGGTTAGCGGGTATACGCTTTTGCACACAGGTCATGCTGGCAAAAGTGTATACCCGCTAACCATAAATATATTTTCTGAATAAACTTATTGGAGTCAATAAGTCAATGATTCAATATGTTAATAAGTCAATGTTAGAGCATAATATATTATTGCAAATACGATTTAGGTTCAAATAAACAAAGGCGATTTGGAGAACTACCGTAAAGCATTTTGGTTTTTAATAATATTTCACTAGTCCAGAACGGTTAACCTAAAACTACTACGACCACAGTTCTGCGCAACCTTTAAACAGTTCAGAAATGTATAACCCGAACAAACCTTATAATATAAGGTTTGTTCGGGTTATACAATTCTGAACTGTTTAAAGATTGCTCTTAAACCAAACCAGCAACATATATTAATAATATTATGTTAAGTTAATAAGTTAAATTCTTATTATAAAATATAAAAAAAATTAATACCTAATTAACAACAAAAAACACAAACAATTACCAAGTAATGAGTAATAACAATTTATATAAATTAATTAGTATAAAAAAGTAATTAAAAACAAATAAAAGTATTGTAAACATAATCAGAGCTAATTTTAATGTCATTCTATGTTGTTTGTGGTTATTAATGTGGTTATTCATAAATGTTTCTTAAATAAATTGAAGTAAAGTTAAAGACTTAAATATATTCTATTATACGCAAAATTAAAAATATCAAAATGCATTTAAAGATTAAATCATTTCAAACTATTGTTTTCGTTTGCAGAGGAGCCTATCTCTATCGAAAAGAAAGAAAAAAGAACCGAAAACCGGAGGGGCTTGACGGGGGCAGGGCCGGAGCGTCATCTGAAGACGGCAGTTCCGGAAGCCCAGCCAGAATGGACATGGACGACGGACCAGAAGGCACAAGCTCCTCTGAACTAAACCAGGAAATCAGGGAAATATTAGAGAATGATCACGCGATGATCACAAAGAACAAGTTACACAAACTACCCGCGGAACCAAATATAATCACGATTTTAGAAATGTTTTGGAAGCATTTCGCGAGCAACCAAATATTCGGTTTGAACGAAAAACCCAATTCCAGAAATAGAAACAATAATAATGCTAATAAAGCTAAACCTGAGGACATTCAAAAGAAGTGAGTTAGAAACGTCCTTTTAATATTTTATTTGCCAACCTAAAATATGTGTTTTGTTAAAGCCTTACAATTGGTAAAGAATTTGTGGATGGAATTCGAATATATTTTGACGCAATTTCAGTGGAACATTTACTGTACCCTTCCGAAAAAGGACAAGTTAAAACTACTTTGGCGGTTTATCAATCTCCAGTAAATTCTTTAAAAAATAAGTAAGTAGTAATCATTTTAGCAGAATAAAGACCTGGCGTATACCAAACCAGCACAAATTTGCTTGGTACCTACGTTATGGTTTTAAAGTGTCGAAAAAAAAACGGAAAAATTGAGAAAAAAATCTGTTTTTTCCGTTTTTTTCCCAGGCCTTTTAAAAATTGGCTTTTTTGGGAAAAAATTTTTTTTGGAAATATACGCATTTGAAAAAAAGTAGCAATTAATAACTTAACATTATTTTATTTAAAAAAATCCTTTATTACAAAAAAAAATTAACTTAACATTGAATTAAATTAAATTGATTTAAGAAAATAAATGTAAACGTTAAATATACTGTTGGTTGGGAAGAAGTCCATTAAAAATATCCAACTACAAAATAATGAAAGATATATAAAGTTAAATTACAAAATTATAATTTTATAAATTAAAGTGTGAAATAAATATGTTGAATATGTTTTTTTGCGGCCCGGTAGAATATTCTTAATCAGCGTCGGAAATTAATTTTTTTCTAGATATCAGTGTACGGATATTATCCTTAAAAATTTGGAAATTTTTAGAAAAATTGACTTTTGCATTTTTTTGTTTTACCCTTTGTACAAAATTTAAAAATGAAAAAGTCAATTTTTCTGAAAATTTCCCAATTTTTCCGTTTTTTTCCGAAAAAAAAAACCGTTTTTTTTCCGCCGGCTCAATTTTTCCGGAAATTTTAAAACCCTATTAGGGTTGGGTTAAACCTACATAATACTTCATCCAAATTCCATTTAAATGCTGGTTTATTTATAGGTTTAAATCCGAAAACTACGATTCTCATAATAATCATCAATGCCTAGAAGATATGAACAAAAATGGATCATTACATCACCATGACGAGGTAAATTCGAGGAGAAGAACTTTGAGGTCCAATCATAAACAAGAAACTCAAACTAATGGGAATGAGCCTGTGGAGGTGCTTCCACCTGTTGTGAATGTTAAACCCTCCGCCAGGTAAGAATTTAAATGAATGCAAATTAAATTAAAACTTTCATTAGAATGATAATACCCAGCCCCATTTTTAAAATACTTTATTTTTATTTCATTATATTAATTTAATTTAATAATAGAGCCTGAGTTTTCTTCTTACAATTTGAACAAAGAAATTATATTTGCTTTGTATTAATTTTAACCATATTTTACTTTACCAAGATACAAAAATCTAAAATAAATTAAACTGTTTGTTATATTATTATAATTTGCATGACTTTCAAGGTATAGAAATTTTGAGTTGTGTTACTGTTCTTTTGTTGTCTTTGGAAGTATTTGAAATCAGTATGACCACAAAAATGGCCATCACTAAGCAACCCTGGGGCTGTAGCCCCCCACCATATTTTTTTAAATGGCAACACCCTCTTTGTGATACCTCATTGGAAAGCTCTTGAAAATTGCTATTTAACAGTACTAAAAAATTATTTTTATTAGTTTAATTTTGTAAAAATACGCAAAATAATTTTTATGGTTATTTATTCCAATTTCTCGTTTAGAACATTAGTAAAAAAACTGGAAAACACAAAATAATGCTAACAAAAGTATAATAAACTAAAAAAGCAAAAATAAACAAATTGTTTAACGATAATCTAAACACTTTAATTTTTAGCTTAATTATTTTGTAAGTAATAGTACAGTCTATTCTCAAATTCCCTTTTGGACATTTTGAAATGTTTGTCGTGGAATAGCTCACCATTCTTTTTTTAGTATTGCCTTTAGGATAACAAAATGGTTTAATTTGATATTTATAACGAGAAATTGGAATAAATAATTATAAACATTATTTTGCGTATTTTTAAAAAATATTAAAACGTATTTTTTAGTACTGTTAAATAGCAATTTTTAAGAGCTTTCCAAGGAAGTTTCGCAAAGAGGTCGTTACAATAAAAAAAATATTTATATATCACTACTGTACAAGAGCCTATTTATTTCCACGTATATTTATTTTATTTCATCGCGAGTACCAAAGCTTGACTAACTGCTCCATGCTGCGCTGTTCCTTATATATTCAGTGCCTACGTGACACTAGTCACGCAAGCGCCTTCCCGAACATTCCAGCGAGCTCTGGTGTGCTCTCGATCGCTTAAGCGCTGACTCACCGGCGATGAGTCATCATTCCGAGATCCAGAGCGGTACTCGCTACAATACCAAAATACATTGACATTAGGGTGGTCCTTAATAAGGTTATTTTCAAATTTCTTTGCTCCCAGGGGCTCAAATGCTTCCAAATTAATTAAAAAAAATTCCCTGAAAATTTGAGCTTTTAATATTAACTCTAAGATAGTGCGCATTCCAATCTAAGTTTCCTATGGAAATAACATAGGAAAAATTACTTTTGTTGTTTATAATTTTATAACTTGGGAACGAATAAATTAAAAATTATAAATCATTCATATTTTTATAGAGAATTTAACGCTCTACAAAAAAGGTTTCTTATAATTTTTCCATAAGTCTATTTGTTTAAAAGTTATTCAACGTCAAAGTTTAATTTTCATATTATTATTAATATTATCAAGGCTTTTTTATGAGGCGCCGTTTGTGTCAAAATTAAAAGTGCTAAATAAACTTATTTTGTTTTATAAATAATTAATTATATGCTTTACCAAATAATTTTTTTATAAAATTATTTTTTTATAAAGTTTTTTTTTGTAAAAAATTTTATAAAATAATTTTTTACAAAATAACTTTTTTATAAATTTTTTTTTGTAAAAAATTTTATAAACTAATTTTTTTATAAAATTATTTTTTTATAAAATAATTTTCAATTCGAATCAAAAATTATTTAATAAAAGACGACGGGCGCATTTATAAATTAATTTTTACCATCTCTATTTGTTTGTAGACACTTTTATAAAAAAATTATTTTATAAAATTTTTTAGAAAAAAATTATTTTATAAAAATATAATGTTATAAAAAAATTATTTGGTAAAGCATATAATTAATTATTTATAAAACAAAATAAGTTTATTTAGCACTTTTAATTTTGACACAAACGGCGCCTCATAAAAAAGCCTTGATAATATTAATAATAATATGAAAATTAAACTTTGACGTTGAATAACTTTTAAACAAATAGACTAATGGAAAAATTATAAGAAACCTTTTTTGTAGAGCGTTAAATTCTCTATAAAAATATGAATGATTTATAATTTTTAATTCATTCGTTCCCAAGTTATAAAATTATAAACAACAAAAGTAATTTTTCCTATGTTATTTCCATAGGAAACTTGAATTGGAATGCGCACTATCTTAGAGTTAATATTAAGAGCTCAAATTTTCAGGGATTTTTTTTTAATCAATTTGGAAGTATTTGAGCCCCTGGGAGCAAAGAAATTTGAAAATAACCTTATTAAGGACCACCCTAATTGACATACAGTACCAACATAGTCAAATGTGTCAAATTCTGAATAAAATTTAAAAAAACAAACCGCAAACACATTTATCGTTATTTTTTGCGATACATTTTATACATAATTTTATTTATTTTAGATTTGGTTAAAAAACAAGACTAACAGTTGACAGTTGACTTTAAAATAATTAACATAACATTTGGGTGACCCAAAATGGGCAATCCATATCAAATAAAATGTATAGATGGTTGCTGACATATTTAAATATTTTTTAATTTTTTACCTAGGTACAGTGGTGGACACGGAATTTCAAACATCATGATTTGGTTGTCCTTTTATAAGTCAGTATATAGCAAAGATACAATAATGACCATTTTTGCTTTTGCTGTCATGAGAATAGTAATAACCATAAAGGAAGTTTAGATTTTGATGTCAACGGGAAATTCTGTTTACACCATTGTACTATACTTAGTTGAACACAGGTATTCATTAATTTTTTAGATGTTTTACAGAGGTTTTCGTTCTTAAACATATTTAGTTTAAACAAAAACCACGCTTAAAAGCATAAAATAATAGTAGATTATGTCATAAGGAGTAGAAGTGACTCTTTTTGTGGTGAGTACAGAGATTGACGGCCGAAGCGTAGCTGAGGCAGGCAACTGTACAAAGCACAAAAAGAGCTTCTACTCCAAATAACATATACAATTTTTTTTTCAAGGGCGTAATATAAATAGAATAAGCAATAACATTATTTTTTTACTCATAACTCATGTGGGATAAAACTTTAGCTAAAAGCATTAGAAATTATTGATAAAAACTAAAAAAACTAAATAACCCTTACTTACAATGCCAATAAATATCCTAAACCATAGAAAAAGGATAAACTAAATATAAACACTGCTCTGTCAAAATGGTGCGCTTGAATTAATTTTGACGTACTGACATTTGTTTGGAGTTCCGACATTGGCGACTCGTCTATCATCATAATATTATACTAACAAACTGGTTGTTCTTTATTTCGTTCAATTAAAATTGAATAAATAATCACTTAATATTCCATGCGATTATAATTAATATAATTAATACATCGTGATTGCTTTGTATGAAATGCTAAATTAATTTTATTATTTGACGTCTATTGAGTCGCCTATGGATTTACTTATATCCCTAAGCTTTTTTGCTTTTTTTGTCTGCCGCTAATGAAAAAGACGCACTTCAACTATCTCTATACATGCATATAAGGTTGCATATCATGGCCGCTTGTCCAGTATACCTTTTTTCAATCCCAGATCTTTAAGTATAAACATAGGTAAACAAAAAATAGATGTTAGATGTTATAATAATTAATTATTTTTTTATTAATATTATTTATTATTATTTTACTAAAATATAACACAAAAAGTGTCTCATTTACAAAAATAGTTCATGGTTAAAACGTCCAATTGTACCCTCAAATTGTATTATGCTTTCTCAGTTAAATTTTGTGATTCTTTAATTAAAAACAATAAATTTTGGAAAATTAGATGTGGCATAAAAACCTCACTTCCAAAAATTGTAACAGCTTGATTGTATTCCATTTCCTATTAAAATATGAGGATTGCGGTTAAGTTTAGTTATTTACATAAATGCATTAAAGCAAAATGCTGTAAAAGTAAAACAATTACGCGCACCAACGCCGTGGCAATTCTCCGCTTAATATTCATATTCTGTTTTGATTTAAGCCCCTATATTCTTTGTCTTTAAAATTGGCTTTATTTAGTTGTACATATGTTACGGTAAAAGTGCGAATTCGGCATATGTGCACATTTCCCGGTTTGTTTCAACAGTCTATAGGTAGTAAGTTTACAATAAATAAGCTAACCTGCACAGTAAATGTTAAGAAACATTTATGTACGAGGTGTGTTCAGAAAATAGGAGGGAATTGTTAAATTTCGCGGGTTTGGAGGGTCCGGTTGTCATAAAATTTTCTTTATTATGTTGGGAAACATGCCCCCGAAGTATGATAAAAACGTTCGTTAAAAGAAATGGATCAAAGAAATTTGTATCCAATTTTGCTTAAAAAATGAAATAAATTCTGCGAAATGTTAACAAAGGCCTATAGTGAGTCTGCTATAAGGAAAACAAGAGTTTGCAAGAGGTCTAAGAGTTTCCAAGATGGCCGTGAAGACGTTGAAGATGACGAACGCCCTGAACGCCCAAGCACATTAACAACTGATAAAAACATGAAAAAAGTGGAAGAAATGGTTATAAACCTTTAGAGAAGTCGCTGATGATGTTGGTATATCGATTGGCTCATCTCATGAAATTTTTTCGAATGTTTTGGGTATGAAACGCTTGGCAGAAAAATTTGTTCCAAAATTGATTTTGAACAAAATTTTTGTATAAAAACAATACTGTAATGATGCCCCAACCTCCATATTCGCCAGACATGCCTCTGTCTGACTTTTTCCTATTCCCAAAAATAAAGAGAACCTTAAAGGGCCGTCGTTTTGCAAGCATAGATGACATTAAAAGCGCATCGCTGAAAGAACTAAAGGCAATCCCAAAGATCGAGTTTTAGAAGTGTTTCGAGTAGTGAAGGGACTATTCGAATACAAATAATCGAAGTATTCGATTCTGGCGTGCATTCGAATGCATTCGATTCTCATCAAAGTATTCGAATACTTCGAACCTTTCGAATCGAATCGAAAGCGCTTGAGTGTCATCGAGCAGAAGGTGGGAGACAAACAAAATAATAAAAAGTAAAGCTTAACCAGTAACTAAAAAATATATAAAAAGTAACTGAAAAAATATATAAAAAAGTAACAAACTAAGTTACTATTAATTATTCTACAAAACGGTTTTTGAAATAAAACAAATTAAAAATAATATAGTTATGTTTTATGTCAAAAATCAATTAGTAGGTATATCAGCCGGTTTAGAATTTATATTGCACCCAGTGCGAAGCCAACCCGCTCAGCCCATAACGAATTGTAGGTAGGTATACAAGAAATAAAATAACCATTCGAATACAGAGAATCGAATAATTTGTTCCGAAAACATTCATTCAATAAATGTTTTCGGCTATTATTATCGGTTCCGATTCGGAACAAACTATTCGATTCTCTGCATTCGAATGATCATTCGATTCTTTAGAGTATTCGAATGCAAAGTATTCGATTCTAAAAATCATTCGATTCTCCCTTCACTAGTTTCGAGTATTGGAAGAAGAGCTGGCACATGTGCATAATATCCAATGGGGACTATTTTGAAGGCGACAACATTAATGTAGACGAATAAATAAATATTTTTTTCAAAAAACGAAAATTCCCGACATTTTCTGAACACACCTCATACACTTTTACTTCCTTTGAAAATCCCTGTTCTGCGCACTTTTACCAACAAAGCAGGCAAACGCATACATTTCCCGGCAAATGGGTACCTATTTTGCCGTTATACGTTTTTACATAACTAGTAAGGAAAGTGCTACTTTTCCGCGCGTGTTAGGTAAAACATTTTCTTTACAAGCAAGGAAATCTTGTAAGATTACATCTGAAAAAAACCTATTGTTTGTAGAAGCGTGCGGAAAGTTGATAATTTCTGCACTGTTGAGCAGCAGCTTTCTGCAGGCTTGTAGGAAAATTTACTTAACTATTACAACGGCTGAAAAATATACCTTTGCAAACGTCATATCATTCCGTCAAAATATCAAAAGTCCGTCAGTAGCAAGTCGGGCCAAAACAACGTACTTTTACCGCTACATATGCATCCTATAAAACCACTTTACCACTGTAAATAAATAGTATAACGCTTATTAAAAAAGGCTCTTAAGCATTGCCAGCAGTAATTCAGATGCAACTGGACCCCTGACCAAAGCATTGGCCTGGCAACTTTTACCAGAACATGTTTATCTTCAACAACCCCCACCGCCAAGTCTTGTATATGGTGCTACACACTTATTAAGGTAAGTTTTAACCTTTAAACCAAATAAATTGTTATATTATAATTACTTTTATTATTTAAAGGTTATTCGTAAAGCTGCCAATGTTTCTATCCTGCTCCTCACTAACAGACGCCAAATTAAAGGTCATACTTAGAAACGTGGAATCGCTTTTGGAGTAAGTTATAATATCCCCACACGTTAAGTGTTCAGAAACTGTTTTTCCAAACAAAACGGTCTAAAACGTTTCATATACTTAACAACCTTAATACAATTTAAGTCTTCTGTTTAAAATGTTCAGTGTTCAATATTTTTTTGTAATGTTATTTTTTATTTTTAAGTTTTTTGGCGGAACACAAGGAATGGTACGATGATAAATTTTACGTTGACACTCCAATACACAGGGATTGACCTAGGAGATTATTATGTGAAGACTCAATTAATTGATTTATTCTTAAGATAGACTTAAATGTGATTTTATCCTAGTTTTAAGTTTTATTCTCAATACCTACAGTTTTAAAGTAAAAAAATGTATTTAGGTAGTGTATTTATCAATAAAACTAAATTTTATTTTTTAATTACTATTTTTTTAATTTGCCGTTTACCTTATTAAATTTTTTGTATACAACAGTTAAATTCATCCATCAAACTATTTTAAGGTAGTATCTCCATTTGAAGAGTTTGATAAATAAATAAGGCCCAATTCTCCTTAGACATGCTAGATAAGCAAGAAAAGTGAACAAATATTGCAGAAAGAAAAAATTCGTCTTTGAGTGCATGAAATGCACAAAACTATTGAATATTGACAGTCGAGTCACTGCCTTGCCTGTGCCGAGAAAATAAAACGTATTTTAATTAACAAATTACTACTCTATTTCATATTATAGTTATTTCCGTGTCAAGCTTTGTAAATGATTCTTTACGGGCGAGCTGCGTCGCTCACCCCATAATCCAGTGAGCCTAGTAGAGATGCGACTTGAAAAAAAACGGTCCGTTTTTTTTGTTTTTTTCAGGTTTTTTTTTCATTTTTTTTTTCAAATGGATTTTTTTACATTTTAGTTTTTTTTCAAGATTAGTCCCATTTGCCTAATTTTTTATGTTTTCATGGACTAAAATTAGCCACTAAATGACAATTATTAAAATTTACATTTAATGTAAATAGAGTCCCGCGTTATGCACTCGCCACAACCACCGATTTGACCAATAAGGGTCGCGCTTGTTTTGATTTGGTCCTAAAAAAGTAACTCCATATAATACTTTTGATTCAGCGCTTGATTTTTAAAAGCTACCAAAAGCACTTTTGTTTTATCGCTCTATACAAATATTTGATATTTGTCGTAGAAAAAGTATAGTATGCAACTCTTTTATGAACTTTTCTAGGCACTCATTAATTTAAGCACTCGCTCGCAAGCTCGCTAGCGAGCTCTTGTCTAAATTAAATTCGTATGATCTTCTTTGGTTGCTCAAGTTGAAAAACCTGTGTGAAATCTGATTTCCTATAGATTATGTTAAAAAATCATTTCAAATTATTCCTGAATAAATTTTTAGACATGTGTCTAGAATTTTAAATTGTTTAAACTCTATTATAAACCTAATTATATTTTTAGGGTTAATTTTGTATTCAAATTAATATTTTATCCATAATACTGTAGGTAAATTTTCAACTCTTGAAATATCACAGCTAAACGATCGGACACGTAAACATAATTTTTAGTCGTAGATTCCAAATCCGTGCTCGGTTTAGCTGTATCAGGTCTAAAGAAGTCCGATTCAGGGACACACTGTATACTGGTATATTATAATTTCTAAAATATTTATATAATATATTTCACGCCTTGTGACAACATTCCTATGCTTTTTATTTCAATAAACATAATATCCTTAATTATACTTAAAAAGAAAAAATTAGCAAAAAAACATTTTGAATTTCCTAAATTATCTATAAAAAACTCTCAGGGACCCGTGTTCCTTTTGATCAATTAACTTAAAATTTTGCAATAATTTGTTTTTTTTTTAAATTTGGAACTGATGTGTGGATCCAGCCAAGTGTTTTTTTTTTAATTTATACAGGGTGTTTAAATTTATACAGGGTGTTTTGACCTGATACTAAACCAAGCACGGATCTGTAATCTACGACCAAAAATTAAGTTTACGTGTCCGAGCGTTTAGCTGTGATATTTTTACCTTCCTACAGTGTAATACCTAAGTACCTATATATATTTTTTCATATATAGAAAAACATATGGACAAACATTATTTCAATTTCAAAAAATAATATTTCTACAATGTTACTGAACGTTACATTTGTTAGATGTAATGTTACAAAACTCCTTGTGTCAATGTTGCAGGAACATTGCAACAAAGCCTTATGTCCGGCTCAGGAACATTACATTTACAAATAAAATGTTGCTTAACCCTTTCAATACGACTTTTCGGAAATTAATTTAAAACTTTTTTATTAGTGTTAAAACTATATTTAGGTTAAAAATAGTTAATTGACTGAATAACAGATTTTTAACTTTGGTGGTATTTGAAAAAAAGGCCTGGGACAGATTTATCCCTGCAGTAATATGCCCTGGGATATATTTATCCCCACACTAAAGAAATTCTACTATTTTTGAAAATGTTTATTATCAAAAAACACTGATGGGATAAAACTATCCCCTGTCATATTACTGCAGGGATATTTTTGTCCCAACGTATATTTTGAGGAATGAGTTGTGACGTACAATGCACATAAAGTATCACAAAAATTCAAGCAAAATTTACACAAAAACTGCACAAAATAGGTTATGTGACTGGTCTTTTTCAATTTAGAGCGTGCAATGGCCGAAAAACAGCTGGTTATTGTTCACGTGACGTTAAATAAATTAAGTTTTTATTACTGATATCCCAAGTCAAGACATAGAAATACTAAATTGTCCCGACCCTGTTTTATTTAAACGCACTTAATTAAGTAGAGACATTTTTTAATTTTCTTTGGGACGTATATATCCCCGCAGTATTGAAAGGGTTAAATCTTTTCCTAAATTTATGCCAATAAGTTTAGGGACACCTTGTATAATTACATACCTATATGTAATTTTAAACCAATCGTTATATATTTGTAATAAAAAAATTTAGTTTTTACTTAAACCAAGAATTAAAAACTTTTAAGACATTAAAAATATATAGAAGCTAAACAATTATAAATATTAAAAAATGGGATGTTTTCCTTTTATTAAAAATTTTTGCACATTATAATTTCCTAAAGATGTCATGCATAAAAGGTATTGTTATAAATTAAAAGTGATGTTAATTACTTAAAACAAGTTTTTTTTAATCAAAAAGCTTTCTAAGTTCAAAAAAGTAGAAAAACTGCTGAGCAATTTACAAATAATTTTGCTAAAATGAGCATTTTTAACCCAAATAAAAAATAATGTAATTAATGTTTTAAAACTATTCATTTATACAGGGTGTTCCGGCATACTTTCACCATTCCACGCCATATGCCCGTCGCACAGTGGTCGGAAACACACAAAAAGCTGGCCAAAATTCAAATAGAGATCGAATGTATTTGAAAATAAATACCTTCATGTTTTTGGGGCGAAAAAAATTACGTCACGTTAAAAGAAAAGTAGTAGTAAGCAGAGCTGGGCACGAGTACTAAAAAAAGTATTCGTAAAATTTTAAGTACGAGTACTTAAAATATTTTACTCGTAAGTACATTTGTAAAGAGAGGTTACGGTTACGAGTAGTAATCGTAAAAACACGAGTAAAAAGTACGAGTACTTTTGAAAAAAAAAATGTTAGTTAATACAATTGATTATTCTTTATACATTATACATACTTTGGTCCTGAGTTATAAAAATACAAATAGAAATTTATAAAATTATTTAATTTATACATTATTTACAGGGTGATCCCCTATAATGTCGCCCCCTTTAACTTTTTTATTTTAAGTGTCCCAAAAAAATTAAAACTGTGGTTATGTAGGTACTAAAAAATACGTTTTTTCCACTTATAAGAAAAATTGGGAAATTGATCTATATATATAAAATTTATTTATATTATAAATTTACCCTATATATATAAATTTATTTTTCGATTCCTTGTAAAATTCTAAGCCCAAATCATATAACATACCATATACCTAATATTTTAACCGTTTCTGAAATATTCGCATTTAAAACGTTATCATCAAATATTTTTTTACAAATCAAAAAGCCTTAGAATAACAAAATGTTTATTGAAAATAAATAACTATAGTGACATTATGTCAATATGTCTTAAGTAAGTAAAAATGGCGTACTCAAACCGAGGAAGATAAACTATTTTAACTTACCTATTATATAAGATATCTTAAAAATAATTTAAATATTTCAGAAACCGTTGAATTTTACAAGAAATCCAAAAATAAATTCATATAAGTATAGGGTGATCCATTGAGAAAAAATAAACTTTTTGTTTTTCCCTGTATACTGATCAATTTTTCAATTTTTGTATACGTAGAAAAAAAGAATTTTTAGTACCTACATAACCACACTTTCAAATTTTTGGGACACTTAAAATAAAAAAATTATAGGGGGGCGACATTATAGGGGATCACCCTGTACATAAAATAATAAATAAAAATAACAATTCTTAAATAGTTCATAATTTTACCTACAGTGTGACCCTTTTGTTTGGGACTCACCCCTGTAAAAGCTTTATTTATTGTGCAATTTTAACCGGATTTGTAATCTTAATAAATTGTATTTTTGGAGCAAAAAACGCCATATTTTTATAAAATACAAGGCCTACTGTGTCAGTTTTTAAGAGTAAATTTTTAAGAATTCATATTAGCGATTTTTTTAAAACAAAATCTAAGCATGGCACTGTATTCACCACCCCTCAAAACGACTTTATACTAAATTTTATTGAAAAATTTTAAGTAGAAAAATGCACAATAATAACTAAAAAATTTATTCTGTCAAGTTATCCATGACAAAAACATTGAAATAAAATTAAACTAATAGTGACTATATTACTATAGATTATAGATTACTATAAGTTTAATTTTATTTCAATACTATAAGTTTAATTTTATTTCAATGTTTTTTTATGGATTACTTCACAGAATAAATTTTTGTAGTCATTATTGTGCATTTTTCTACTTAAAATTTTTCAATCAAATTTGGTGAAGGGTCGTTTTGAGGAGTGGTGAATCCAGTGCCGTGCTTAGATTTTGTTTAATAAAATCGCTAATATGAATTCTTAAGAATTTACTCTTGAAAACTGAAATAGTGGACCTTGTATTTTGTACAAATATAGCGTTTTTTGCTTAAAAAATACGGTTTATTCAAATCTGCACTTTAAAACAAATCTGGTTAAAATCGCAAAATAAATAAAGATTTTACAGTGGTGAGTCGCAAACAAATAAGTCACACTGTATATACTTGTTATAAAACCTATGTATTATATTATAATATATATTATATAATTTAAAACAAATTTCCAAACAAAATGTTTTGATGCTTACGATATTTTGGCAAAAAGTCATCGATATAATAAACCGAAATACTCGTATATATACGTAAAAATACCCGTTAGTATAATAT